GCAAAACTCACCGCAGGAAAAGGAAGAAAGCTGATCGTGGTGATGGACCCTTATCATCAGAATCTTTATCAGAATCAGATCAGACAGAGGAGGTCAGTGTGAAACCTCAATTTCAGATGTTATAATGCTTTTAGCTTACCAAATTGCATGAGTGGATGATTTAGCTTATGTTTAATATATTGTTGAAATTGTTCTGTTCTGTACATTGGGATGTAAGAGTGCAGGGCATTCAAAGTAGTTTGTATTTTTCTCCTTTGTAAAAACTTTTAGTAAGAGTTGTTCAGTAGAGCTCCTACCACCTACAAGTCAGTCTGAATTCATTTCCTTGAAAATTTCCAACTTTTTTATAAGTACTCAATGAAATGAGGCTAAGTGATTGGTGTGGTGTCCTTCACAAGATTGCTCTCTGGTGTTAGTGAATAGGTTGGTAGATGTCAAGATTGCTAAAATTCTACCTTTGTATCTCTGTTTTTTCTTATTCTATGTATGAAAAGCAGAGTGTATTTCCAAATTCGGTGTTTATAGGATAATGCGTATTCTAGAATGTAATACAGATAACCAGTGTTTCTTCATGGATTATTGTTCAGTCTGTTCTACCAGTGTGTTGTATCATCATTCATTTATATGCAACAAAAGCTCAAACTTCTATGTAAAGTAGCATTGCCAAAGCTGTTCTCCCATTGTATTGGATTTTTTTTTCTAGGTGCAAGTGAAAAAAAAGAAAAACAATGAGGATAAAGATAAAACAGCAAGTATCCTTCTTACTCTAGTTTTAGGATATAAACTGTTAATTTCCATTTCGCATTTTTCAATAATACAGATATTTTATTGCAAAAGTCTACTGTCACATGAATCTAAATTAACAATTTCTCTGTTTATGTGCTGAAGTCACTTTTTCAGTTGTAGAATTAAAGGTAGAAGGTAGCACAACTAAAGGTAGCACATCAGTGCTGTTCCTCTGTTGGGTATAATTCTTCCTTGGTAAGCCCCTGTACCAGACCATGAAAAGGGCTTTAGGACATAATCATTGCAACATCTACATTAGTATAGTTCTTCTGCCAAACAGATAAAAAGCTGTCAGCAACCTGTTACTTTTCTCAATTTTGTTGATTTGGTGAAAGCGAGAGGAAGGTTCAGTGGTGACTTCCATAGAACCCAGATTCATCACATATACCTGAGGCTCCTCAATTAGGAGTATAGTGATTTTGAGATCTTAAATGCCCACTCAAGAAGTCTGTATGTCTTTCTCTCTTCCCTGTCAGCAGCAATGTTCCTAATTAGACATTTCAGTTGTCTAGATGAGTTGGGTGAAGGGAAGGTTTACATTAGTCATCTGAAAAATATGCATAGAGTATCAGCAATAATACACATTTTCCATGGAATTTGTTTGTTTTTTCAGAATCCTATAAGCTGTTTGCCATAACATTTTTAGTGATTGATTTTGATATTTTGCATAGAATTGTGTATGTAAATAATAGTTATAAAACAAAGCTTTTTATATGAGGATTGTTTAGTTTACATAATATCACACTTACTAAACAATTCCAGTTGAAATTCTGATTGCAAAAAGACAAGATTATGTCTCTCAGTGTCTGTATTACACTGATCAGGATAATAACCTCAGTACTGAATCCAGTAGGGTTAATTGAGTGTATTAATATTTATAATTGAGATCATAACTGTTTTAGAATTATAGAATAGTTAGGATTGGCAAGGACCTTAAGATCATCTATCTCCAACCCCCCTGCCATGGGCAGGGACACCTCACACTAAACCATGTCACGCAAGACTCTGTCCAGCCTGACCTTGAACACTTCCAGGGATGAAGCATTTGCAACATCCTTGGGCAACCTGTTCCAGTGCAATTTTATTTTAAACAAGGTGCAAGCTCTGGAGATTCTAGTCAAGTGTAGTTAACTGTTTAATTTTGCACAGTGAATATAAGCACTTACTTTAAACTCTGTAAATGTAGTTATTTCCCACATACATAATGTGTAACTGCTTGTCAAAGCACTTCCTTAGTATTTTGTCAGAAATCTGTAAAGCACTGTAAAACATTTTAAAGATTAAGAAATGTAATGGTGACAGGGATGAAAGGTGTGAAACAGTCAGACCATGACGGAGGTAGAGTGAAGACTGTTCATATTAGTGATGATTATTGGGTAAAATAGGAATTTTCTTTCTGTGATTTCTCAGTAGGTTTTTATAGAAATATCTTTTGAAATGTCTTTTTACAAAGATATTCTTTCTGTGTTCTCATTTTGCATTAACAGAATTAATAGATGACAATATTATTATACAGTAACTTCCATTTAATTGTATTATTTTTTAGGATAAAACAAGAAAGAGAAAGAAGCACAAGAAACATGGTAAGAAGAAGAAAAAGAAGATTGCTGGTTCAAATTCAGATTCAGAATAATATTTAAAAAACCAAGACTATTGACAGAAGTGCAATGACAAAAGGAAACTTAAACTGTGAAATGACAGCAAACTTTACCAAACTGCATGAGTTTTCCTGTGTTTTAGAAATACTCCCAATCTTTCAGTAGCCAGGCAGGTGCAGCTGTGCTGGGAAAGACCATTGTTATTGCCTGCTGCTTAATACATGAGGTACAACTTTTATAAAATTCCAGTAAGCAATGTTAGATGTTTGAAACAATGTGAGATGGTAGTCCAGCTGAGGTGTAAAATATTGGAAAAGAAGAGTTAAACTTTTTAGATAGTAAAAGTAGTCTTTTAACGCATTAGTAATAGTCTTTATTTGTAAATCAGGACAAATAAAATCCCAAGTTCATCCTGCAGGTTAATATCATATATAAATTGTTAGAAGCTGGTGTCTGCTAATGGCATTTACAAACTGGGAAATTAATTATAACATTTAAAATGCTACCTTTGTAGAAATGTTTATCTGCCCCATTACTGTCTTCATGCTTACAAGAAAGGGAATGCTACCATTTTGGCTAACTGATTAGGGTGCCTTTGATCCTTGCAAATCCCTGCTATTTTTAATCCATGCTGCATCTCTGATTCTAGGGAAGCCAGAACTGTTGTTGGCAGACTTCCGCTGAATAAGTAATTCTGGGCTTCTAAGCATGTGCTTCTGCATTAAGCAAGAGCAGTGGCATTTTGCAGTTTAACTGACATTCAAAACCTGAAGATTTTACCTCTGCTCCTTTGAAATAGTGATAGATCTTTGCTAGTAAATATGCATATTTCATTTAATGTCATTTTGGTTTAGTCGAACACATCTGGCAAGCACTGGTAGCTTTCTTTGCATTACCTTTTAGAATTGTTTTGCATGATTTGTACCATTTTTAAATTAATGAAATGCCGGTAATCGTTTGATGTAACCAGTTCTATGAATTATGTTCCACATACAGAGTTTCATGTATGTATTTAGTTAAGTTCGTTGCTGTGTTTAAGTGCACACTTGCTGAAGATATTTAGCATGTAATAAAGCAGGGTTTTGATACCTTAACAGCTTCATATTGAAGCTGATTTTACTCTAAGCAAGTTCAGTGGCAGACCTGTTGTGTGATGTGTCTTGTTAGATAAAACAAACTACTGCCAGAATCTCATTAAATATACTGTTTAAACAGTTTGTATTTATATTTTTGTACTTGAGGGCTACAGAACATTGACCTAAATCATAAACCTGTTTTACTTTAAATTAGTTGCTTTAGAAATAAAAAAAAAAGCTTTTATAAATTAAATGTGCACCCAAGAAAACACAACCATTCGATTTTAGTTTTTACATTAACTTCTCATTATATCCTCCATTGACATAGCCATTGCTGGGCCTCCTGTTGGCCTTTTAACTGCTGCCAATCCATCCTAAGTGGTCAACTGCAGGTTGTACACTTGATGCACCTTTTTTTTGATTACACAGGTGCTAACTTAAAACTAACCTCTGTTGTATACAGATGTTTCAAATATTGTATTGCCAAGAATTTCAAGACATTTAAGACCTTGATTATATTATTAGTCTCTAACCCATAACTAAAAACTAGGGGAGAAAGATGATTTTGTATTGCCATTCTACAGAGAAATTTACTTAAGATTAAGTTTTGGGGAAAATACAGCCACTGAGTTGCAGCAGTGTCCTTCCAAACCATAGTAAGAATATTTTGATCAACTATTTTATACTGTTGAGCTTGATGTTATTGATTCTAGACATCATTTTGTCAGTGAGGTTAAAATAAAGGCAAGATGCAGTGAACAGTAGGGGTTTGGTTTGGGATTTCTGGTTGGTTTTGTGGATTTGTTTTCTTTTTAAGTTGTGGTGTTGCAGTTTTGGTAGAAGAACCTGTAATGAACAATAGCATAAATGCTCTGTCTGTGAGATACCTCATTTGACTTCTACTCAGCTACCTGCAACAGAAAGAAATAAAAATCGAAATGAGCCCCAGGCTTCCAAATACAGAAGCTGGTATGTCATTTGAATTGTCTGGATATTACTGCTTGTTCTGGTCAGCTGTGGGTTGAAATGCTGCTCTTGTGCTTTGGAAGTGGTGTGGCTGCCTAAGGGGCTTACGCGTTTTGTCGGTTCACAACAAAGCGGCTTTAATACCAGTGGTGAAATGATTGGTTTTCAATGTATCAACAAATGTGATTCCTCTTGTATCCTTCCTGAAGGAAGAGTAGAGGCTGGTTACAGCCCTTCAGCTTCCCCTTTGTTTACACTCAGTGGGTTCAGGTGGCGCCAGGCAACCTCCATGGGTGTTCCAAGCTTCAGCAGTAGGACAAAGTAGGAATGTGAGGATAAAAGTATTTTAATAGATTTCTGTTGTATGTAGTCTGCTTTTAGCTCTTCTTTCCGAAAGCATTTTTTCAAGTTTGAAATCAAGTTATTTTCTGGAGCTGCTGTTTTTAAACGTACGGTACCAGTTTCTCTTTTGCTTCCCTGCATGTATGTTTACCTGCGACCTGCCCGTGGCGCCCAGCGACGCCGCAAGGCCGCTGTTGCCAGGCGCGGGCACGCCTGCCCGCGTTACCATGGCGGCCGCAGCGGCGGCGGTGAGCGGCCGGCCCCTGACCATGAGCAGGAAGAGGTTGCAGCAGCAGCTGGTGGATGCCCTGGGCCACTCCACCAAGCACTGTGAGTCCCCCGCCTGCGGGAGACAGGCCGCCGCCGCTGTCTGAGCGGCGTTCGCGGCTGGCGGCCACCTCCCCTTGCCCTGTGCTCGTTCTGTGGCCTTGTTGGCCACCCACCGCGGGGGGGAGGGGAATTCCCTCTGAGCCCTTAGGAATACGGGTACGGGGGGTGGAGCAGGGTGGGGGCCATCGGTTTTACGGTGAACACCTGAGGTGTCCAGGCCCTGTGGCTCCGCTGTGCCAGGCATGCGTTTTTACCCACTTAAGTGATAAAATATGTTGGCTTGTGTTTTGCCTGGGCAGTTAATAAAAGTGAAGTGGAATGCCTGATCAAGCTCTTCGACAAGCTGGTGGCCGAGTCCAGCAGCCGCTTTGCTGCAGCCGGCTTTGATCGTAACATGTTCAGAGACATTCTCCACAGCGCATTTGGCATGACGGATGAGAGGATCATGGACAGAGGTGAGACTGGTGGGTCTAAAAAGGGTGGAAGATTCTAGTTTTACATTGCTGACCTGATGAGCATGCCTAGATGAGATAGAGCCATCTTGTTCCTGCAAGGACAGCAAAGGAAGAGCTGTGTTCAGGAGCTGCTGAGCAAAGGATATCTTATTTTTTCCTTATGAGGGATAGTTTTCCTTGTTTTCCCTACAGCTCACACGCACGAGGAAGGCCAACCAGAGAGGCAGTTGTACTGCGTTATCCTGTGGCTGTTTCTCTCCCAGTCGCTGTAGGGTCGTGACAGAAGAGGGCAGCATGGCGTCACTTGCCTCACCGGTGCTTCCACCGGGAGCTGCAGTCGCTGCTGCTGGTGGACAGCGCTGTCTCCGACACGGTCTTACACAAGCATGCCGATAGAGTGGATGGCTTCTGGAATAGGGGCGCTGTGAACAGCACAGAGGGGGCTAGGCAGACTAGAGGGAGATGAGAGTAATGAGCCAAATAACCCCCTGAAAATACAGTCATTTCACGGACTAATAACATGAGGGCAACATCAGCAGTTGCTGTGAAAATCTCATGGATGATATCTGATGTACAGGTGCCTAGAGGAGGATATGAAGAGGCATTAGTCTGCTGTTCTTTTCAGTTTCAGGCTGCCTAGAATCGTCCCTTGGTTAAGCTTTCTCCTGTTGTCTAGCAGGAGGTGTATTTAAATACGATAAAATGAAAACTTGTTGCCATTTTATGCAACAAGGTAAGTGTGCCTTGGAAGATACCTTACATAGACACATTATTTAAAATTATTTTAGTGCTTACATGCAAAGGGACTATTTGTTTTGTCTTTAGGTTGAAAACAAACCTATTGTTTTCCAATTCCAAAATGTTTGGCTCTGGGTGTAGGGTGTTCTAGTAGCCAGCTTACTAATTAACATTCTAAAATATTAACTATTATAGATGTTGATGCTTTGAATTATATCTGGGATTTGATGTACTATATTACTGGCTGTATGAATAGTAAAGCTGCAAGATTGAAAGGTTCTTATTTCAGGGAAGGGAGAAGAAAAAAAGATTTTTGGTACATGAAAGACAGAAGAAGGTTATTTTACTTTGTATATTTAAAACATGTATTGTTCCTAAGGTTACTTTCTCTAAGATTTTCTGTGACAAAACCTAGTAATTAAGATCTTCTCCTGTGTTGCAAATATGCCTCAGTGCAAGGGATGTTGTGATTTATTTGGTTTACATCTATGTGGAAGCATACTTCCTGTTGTAGTTTAAGTCAGGAAAGAAACAGATCAAACAAGATGTCTTATCCCAGTAGGATTTTGGAATGGCAGATCAGTAAACTGAGGGGTGAAATTTCCTTTCCTGTTACATCTTAGAAAGATCCAAGAAGGGTTATCATACCTTGGTCAAAGCAGAGAAACATCTTCAGAAAAAATATGGGGTTATATTTTCATAGAATTTAAGAAAATATTCCTTTGTGTTTCCCTATTGTATACATTTCAAATGTATCTAATGCACTTCCCAGTGTTCCATACTTTTGATAGAGATAACAACAGCTGCATCAGTGCGACGGAATGGGTGGAAGGCTTATCAGTATTCCTTCGGGGGACACTAGAAGAAAAGATCAAATGTAAGATTTATCTGTATGCTGGTATGTAGTAGTAATCATTGAATTTGTGATTATTACTTGTTGCTTCTATTAGAATTTAGTAGTTATTCTTATGAAGTATTCGGTGATTGAAGAGTTTTCTTCTCTATAGCTTAATGCAACGAAACAGAGTTCTGAAATGGCTTCTCTGATACTGAGTTTTTTCTGTGTAAACTGCCATTATCATAGCTACCACCTGATTTTGTTGCTTACAAAAACTAGCATTTGAACTTGTTCTACAGCACACAGTTTTGACAGATTTTTGTATTCACACACAAAATTAGAAAGAAGCAGATGGAGCTAAAGGGTAAGTTTGGCTACATAGCACAGTGTCAAGCCAACCAAGACCTGTGCCAGCATTTACTGGCACAATGGGGACACAGCAGCGATTGCATTAATCCCAGCAGTTCTTCAGCTTGGAAAAATAGATGGAAAAACTGAGTCTGTAAGATGGTCATGATAACCTTTACAGCAATGATGGAGAAAGATGGGGGAGATAAAGTAGCAGGAACTCTAGAGTTTTAAGAACAAAAAAAAAACAATTAAAAAAAAATAAATAGGACATGTGGGGGGAGTAAAGTAATAGAAAAAGGATAATGTCAGCATGTTGTTTCCGTAGTTCCCGTGTTGTAGCAACAGCCATCCCTAATGTATTAGATAAATCCATCTGGAAAGTGGTCTGGCATGTCACAGCACTAGGATGTGTGCCCAGGATAAAATTCAGTATGTCAATACAACCACAAGCAGTAGAATATGCAGTCCTGCACTATAGCATATACTAATGTGTAGTGATACACAGTGTTGTTTGTCGTAAGTGTACACCAGTACAGTTTTTCACTGCAGACATTGTCTTTGTCAGGAAAAAAAACCCTACAAACCTCTTGTGTTCCAAAACTAAAGAGGCTGGCTTGTTTGCTTAAATAAGTTTTGTGAGAGATGAAAGTGTATTATGTAAATTGTATTTACATAAAGTAAATAGTATTTACATAAAGGGTATTATGGTTGTGGATTTCTGATTCCATGAAGGTAGGAACAGTTAGGCAGATAAGTGATAGACATCTTTTCTGTGCTAGTACAGCTGACTCTTCCTTTTCCTTTACTTTCCTAACCCAGTTTTTAAAATAACAAAGATGTGTTTTGTATGTGCAAATTCCTTCTGATACAGACACCTGGTCCCTGTCGGAGACCAGAACCTTGTTTATATTCTAAATAAACAACTTCAGAGAAGTTAAAATCTGTAAGTTATTATGGTTTCTGTGAGCTGAAGATGATTTATTTGAGCAAAATTGATTTTCACTATGAAAGGCAAATAGGCAATGTATATGAAGTATTATATATGATAAATGTGGCTCAACAAATATCCTGTACAACATACAATTCACATTTTCTGTCTATATCTAACAGACAGCTTTAATGGTCTGTGATACAGTATGTATGAATTTAAAATTGGTTTATCTTTCAAAAAGTCTGTTTTGAGGTTTATGACCTGAATGGTGATGGATACATTTCAAGAGAGGAAATGTTTCAAATGCTGAAAAACTGTCTTCTCAAACAACCATCCGAAGAAGATCCTGATGAGGGAATTAAGGACTTGGTAGACATAGCAATGAAGAAAATGGCAAGTATTTACTTATTGTGATACTTGAGTGTCTTTCAAACATTCATTAACTGAACCTTTGAGCATTCCTATCAGGTACCAAAATACTGGGTCTGATTTACAGTGGGATTCTGCACCTCAGAGTTAGTTACGTACTTGACAGAAACAAGTCTCCTAAGGAAAGCCAAAAATGTAATCCAGATCTAATGAGTCCTAGTCCGGTATCCTCACATGAAACTGTTAATTTATTATGTGACTGTATTACAAACTTTGTGTATAAGCTACCATGTGTATGTGTGCATACACACATGTGTGTGCCCAGTCAGAAGTGGAAAATTCAAATGTGTGAGCTGCATTTATTCCAGTGATAGGCATCTGCAATAGCTTTATTATTAAGTAAATGTGTTTTAAATATTGCTCCTGAAATGTCTTTTACCAATTTGTATCTTCTATTAGAATAGTAATCTCAAGGTTATTAATGTAAAACATGTCTTACTATGATTAATTTAAGATACCCAGATCAACCAGGAACTGTTTCAACATTTTTTTCAAATCAAGAAATATAACCTCCCTGCCTATGGTGGTGTTTAAAAGATCTCACTTAAAACCAGATCTTGATGCCCAACTCTTTTTATTCAACCCCGTCTTTTCTATTTTTCAAACCCACTCCTTTTACACACCGTCAGTGAAAGGTCCATCTTATCCATAGTTCTTGACCATGCTGAGCCTAGTCTTATGCAGAAAGCAAGCTTTGACTTGGCAATTTATTCCGTTTTGGAGCCGCCTACGTGCGCAGCTTTCCTGCAGGCTGTTTCCAGAATGAGCACCCTCATGTCTTGGGCCAGTTGACAAGTGAGCTGTGCTAGTCCAAGCACTATGCTCTAGACATAATGAATCTTGATGTGTGTAAGAGTACATTATGAACAAATCATGTACATAATCCCATTTCAGTTTTTCCACAAGAACATAATAAAGCTCTGACATGTGTTTGAAGAATGTCCAGATCTGATTTGGCTGCTGGGCAGTTTTCCCAGTAGGATATTGCTGCCCATCTTAACTAAACAGCTATTAGGTATCCAAAAATGCATTTGTGCAGTCCATCACTCAAAGAAGTAAAAACTGCTCTGAGTAATTCCCTGTAGGTACCATGTGACTAAGCATACGTCCAGTCACGTAATACTGTTTTCATTGCAACGGACATGCTCATGCCCTGCCCTTCCTTGTGTTGAGGGGTGTAAGGGTAGAGGATACCCAGCCACTTCTGTTCCTCTGAAGCATGCAGTGGCAGGTTTTCTTGTTCAGGGATCTCTGCCTACATAGCTCCTTGCCTCTGCTTTTCTGGCCATTAGAACCTGTGGTTGCTGTGCGGTCACTAGCTGTGATGGTTCCATGGCTTGATCTTAAAAAATTTTAATTTGGCCCTTTGCCTTGAACATTAATCATATCCACCCATCAGTCTTCACTTAACACCTTAATTTTATATGGCTTAAAGAAGTACTTATGGTTGCTGTAGCATTTGTTGGTGTTTTAAGCTGTCACATCAGTAGAAATGGGAGGTTTTCAAATTGTAGAACTGCTGAAAACACAGGGCTGCTTTTTACACCTCAAGGAATATTCTGCTGTGCTGAGATTCTGCAGTACAAAAGAAGTGGGCTGGCATCAGTGTACTCCACCATATGCTTCTGGGTTCTGTATGTGTAAGACAGGGCAGGAGTGTACTATAGAAACCACTAGGGTAAAGTATTTCCAGCCTCATGAATAGGATGTAGCATGTACTCATTATGTAAATAGACACACAGAATATATCCTAACATTTTCTCCTCCTTTTAAGTCTCCGAATTGTAATTTATTTCAGTGCCAACTGTGATGGAGATTTGTCCGTGCAATTATCAGCTAAGCCTCTTCCCGTGATAAAGTTAGGCCTTCTCTGGAATTCTGTTAGCAAAACCATATGAGATGATAGTTGAGCTTGCTCCCCCTTCTATGCCTGAGGTAAAGGCAAATAATAGAGATCTTGTGTGAGCAGAGACTGATGGCCCAAAGAAAATAATATTTTCATACTATCAAACTAAAAATAGAATCTATGTCATTAAAACACCTGTTAAACAAAAATTGCTCCTACAAGTAATTGCCTCTTGCTGAAAAGTTCCCTTCCTTTTGTAGGACTATGATCATGATGGCAAGCTTTCTTTTAAGGACTTTGAAAAAGCAGTCAGAGATGAAAATCTTCTCTTAGAAGCCTTTGGACCATGTTTGCCAGACATAAAGGTACATCAACAAAACCAAAAGTGCAATACTCTGTACTTTTGGTAAGGAGGTGAACATAGTATGGTATCAACTGTCATTACCTGGGGGCTGCTGAAAGTGATAAATGCTTCGATTGTGAGATATAGAGGGAAGTATGTCAAGTTGACCTACCTTTCACAGCACTGATGTTTCCTTACACAAACATTGGTACAAGAGAGTAACAACAGAGTTACTCAATGTTTGTCTCTCCCTGGGCAGCAATATAAAGAATGATCCTCAGTAAACATCCTCTCAGACTAAGAAAATGAGATCATTCTCTTGAACTTATGCCAAAGATCTCAAGGAATACAACTCCTTTTATTTTTCTTCCATCATGTCACTTAGTACCTTGAGAGTGTTCTTCACCTCCAAGTGTGGCATGGCTGGTTTTTAATTACATCTAACTCACCTTTTTTATTAATGATCCATCTAATTTGGGATTGTTGGTTGTTTTGGGAGATTTTTGGGGGGGGCTGGGGGGAAAGACACTCACTTCCTCAGCGTTAAGCTCAACTGTGGAGAGCATTTCTGCTCTAGAACAAAGAATGTTTTTCCCAAATCCAGTAATAGTTATGCTATTTGAACTTATGTAAATTTTAAATACTGAAAGTTGTGCCTTCATAGAGATGTAAAAGCGCAACTTTGAAATACATGCAGTGGTTCCTAGAAACAGAGGAGCTGTGTAATGCTGGTGAGATGCAACAAGTTTTCATTCACTAGAAACCTCTATATCCTGCCAGCTCACCTGCCTGGCAGGCTAGAAGACAGGAAGTCATCTTGCAGCCAGAATTGCAGGGGGCATTGTATCACGTCAGCTGCAAAGCAGCTGTTTCCAAAATGCCAGACTTCTGGCAGACTTACCAGGGTTTGGGAAGAAACAGGGAAGTACTTAGTTTTGTACACCAGTGAAAAGGTTTTTGAAAAGTTTCTGGACAAAATTACATTCACTAATGAGCACAGAAAACTTACTAGTTTTCTGTAACCTTAACCTAGCACTGGGTTCATCCCCCCAGCACCAGATCTGATGCCCAGTGGCACCTGAATACTCCACTCCAGGATTGTTACAACACAATGCTGTGGATATTTGTCCTATCACCAAGAGAAACCTCACTCTCTTACATTAAGTCATGCCACTTTCTGGCATTCCTGCTTGCAGCCAGTTTAACTCATTCTGCAGCTAGACCTTCTTGCCCTCCATGCCAGATCATTCCTTGGTCACACATTACCACAGCTGAACAGTTACAATTTGCATCTTCCCTCAGCTATAACTTTGAGTGTTCTGATGGGTCTCTCAGTGATGACATCATTGATGCTACAGAATTTACTTTTTCTAAGGCAAAAAGCAAGAGGTATCCTAACTGCAAGGACTTGCACTGATTTACACAATTCAGTTCAGCATCCTTTCTGACTGTATTTAAATCCTTCAGTGAGCTGAAAATCAATTTTGGTTTTGTATTTTAACAGAGCCGTATGGCATTTGAGCAGAAAACCTTCCGGGAAAGCTCGTAAACTGTTAACTCCCAATGGAATACTGCTGTAAGACATTTTTTTCCTTCACCGTTCTGCATGGTAAAGTAAAAATAGGAACAACTTCAAACTGTTACTAAGTTTCAGTATTCCTTTACTGTAAAAGCTAATGAATAAACAATTTACTTCTATTACTCTACCTAAACACAGCTCTTCAACAAGTTATGAAATATGTTACAGTATGAGGTACACAGGGAAAGATTGTAGTGCAATGATAGTACATTATAATGATTTGTTCATTCCAAGAAAAACCTGATACAATTTTTAACAGAGAACTGAAAATACAATATAAAATAATTTTATTATTGACATAAAAGAAGTATTTTAAACTAAATTCTTTCAGGAAAAAGAAGGACTGTAAGAAGATATTGCCAGCAGTATCTATATTCTTCTTCTCTGCTTTACAAGTGGTTTAGCTGAGCTACACTCTGGCTTTTCCACAGATGTTCTTGACACAGAATCTGCTACCTAAATTGGGAGAAAAAAGAAGTCTTAGTAAGCTGTAACCACTCTTTTATGCTAGTTTTAGAGTAAGGCCACCTCTCCAAAATTTGAGTACTGGGAGGGAACTTTCCTGACAGAAAAAGGGAAAAAATAGCACCAGAGGCAGCACTGAATACAAGACATGAAAACCAGAAAATGGAAGTGCTCACAGTACCATTTTTGTATATTAACCACACAAACAAATTTCAGCTAGCCAGTGTTAACAGTGTTTTGTATCTTATCCCCCCTCTCCCTGCCAGAGGTGTTTTCAAAGGTTTAGTATGCTTTTGAAACTCAGGTACATGTTTTGACACAAACTTTAGAAGTGTATTTAATATAAGGGGTGTTTATTTATCAATTTGACTAGAGATAAGCTCTTTTAAATCAGTCTATTAGTCAGAGTCACAAAAACTTTTTCATATCTTAATTTAAATGGAAAGTTATAGCAGGAGTGCTTGACCTGCTAATGGATGAATATCTTCCATAAAAGATTATACAGCTTAAGCTTCTCACAGTAGAATGTGTGGTTCTGTACATCTTTTAATGCCATAAGTAGCATTGGAACAAAATTACATTGAACTCTGACTTATTATTTTTCACTCCCTTTCAATCAGAAACCAGGTACAAGTATCACACTGGATTCAGCACTACTACCTGCAAAGTTATTCCTCCTCCCCATGTGGAAAAAAAAAAGGTGTAGTTTACTAAAAATTGTGCGGGACCATGCACTGACATTTGTGCTTTCTGAAGTGTCGTGTCAGAGTTATGGAGTAGAATTGCCTGCAGTATTCTGCATTATGGAAGAGTTCAACAGTAAGAACGCTAGCTTTAAGTGACAAATAAATTGATAATACTGAGTAAGTGTTGATTTCACTTTTCTTACAGTCTCTCTTTTTATGGATAACAAGCACACGATACCTGTGTTTGAAAACGAAAACATCAGAACTTGCAGAACCCATACCTCTTTCAACTTAGTTCGAATTAATGTAGCTGAGGTATTCAGTGAATCATCGTCCAGATCTACTTTCGGTATTTCTGGTAGCTGTGGACCAATGATAACTTCAGCATTGTCCATACTTGTTCCAATGAGGGAAAACTTGGTACCTTCTTCTCTCTTCCTCTTACGTTCTTGCAGGCGAGTTGTCCGAGGCATAAACCGATTGATTCCATTATCAACTGGAACTGTCCTTTGCTGCATTAAGGAGTTCAGTGGAGTATGTTCTACTGGATTTGCATTTATTGTTAGGGATGTGTTTTGACCAAAGTGCCCAGGAGTTTCAGCAGAATTGTTATCATACTGGGGAAATGTCAACAGGCTCTGACTGTGATTCCCACAGGGATACCCCATGCTGTGGAATACCCCAGGAGAACTTGCAAAGCAGGATGGATCCCAGTTACTGGCTGCATGTGATCCTGATGTACTCCATGGACTGTCATGCCGGGAGTTCTTTGGGACAGTCTTCTTAGGCCCCTCTACTTGCTTTAACACAAAGCAATCTTTGAAACAAAGGAAAAAAGCAGCTTCACTATTTCATGTCATTATTAGTTCTAACACATAAAACTCATTTAAAACAATTACAGAAGTAATACCAGTAATACTCCATTCTCAGCCACCTTTCTGTGATTCTTTTTTCCCCAAGTGGCACCTTTCAAGCTGGAGTTTCCTGTCCTAGTCCCTCTGCTGGTTTGCAAGGGAACGCCTGAGCAGAAGGATTTCCGCAGTTTTGAGAACAGAAGGAAAGTATTTCTAATGTTGCAAATCATCGATTCTTACCTCAGTTATGAGTTCAAGGACAGGCTGCCTTGCAACATTGAAAAAAAGTAGGCATTTGGATGTTAAAAATCAGTGATTTTACTCCCTTTCAACATCCTCATGCAAGGAATAGTAGCAAAATACATAAGCACAAAAGGAGAAGCCTGTGCTCAGCAATTTGCTGATCTCTCAGCTGGCCCAGGCTTCAGTGCTGCCCAGGAACTCTGCAATGCAGCAGCCCCAGTAAACCCAGTCCATTCCTGGCATTCCTCCAGTGCCAGTATGCAGGCTGGAGAAATTTTTTGTGAGGTTCTGGCATAGTCCCCTTCCTTACAAAACTCTCCCTTTGAGCATGCCTGAACAGGCTGGAACAAAAGTGAAAAGATGAACCCAAATTTCCTGCCAGTGCTTGAAATTTCTGATAACATTTTGAAAAGAAAACTTCAATTATTAAAGCTCAAGCATTTCTTTTAGTCTAAACCAAAAATGAGAAGCTGCTTTGAAAAAGATGCTGCCCTCTATATACTGAAAAGTGTCTCCATTCTGCTGCAAACATACTGAAAATGCATCTGTAGAACAGTGTTAACTAGTTCGCTAGTTAAAAAGTTCTTTAATGGGCACTTCAACCAAAACCTCACTCACCCACCCCTGAAGTGAGATGTTAACATTCCACAGAAATTTAATTACAAACCTCTTTGATTTGTTGCTTTTGCGATGTACTTTCTTCTATCCTGCAACTTCTCCCTAGTTTCTTGGACTGTTTCAAACTCTGGAGCATAGCACACATGCAGCAAACTACCAAAGAAGCTTCGTTCATCCATTTTTTTCTTGGCCACCCTGGAGAGAATTAAACAGAATTGGCAAAACTGAGGATTTTACTTCAACTCTCCAGAATCTTAATGGATTGTAAATAAATTATAAAAAAGATTAAAAAAGCAAGAGGCAAATACTGTCCTCTCCAGTACCTTGCACATTGCAGTTTTTGGAATTTTATCAGATAAACTTCAGTAAATTGCTCTGCTGGATATTCATCTAGAGCATGATACTCTTCAATGGCACCATATAATGCAAATTGTTCAACTAATTCCTTCATAACCCCTAATGCAGGAACTCCTTGTATTAGTAAATAACGAGATTCCAAGTTGATCGTATAAACCTGGGTGGGGAAAAGAAAAACAAAAAAACGACTATTACAAAATGTACACATTATCGCTTCACTGCCAAAGTAAGCAATTTTCTCTGTTTTCTGTTGTTCCTCAAATCCTCTCAGGATGCTGACACCCCCACCGTACTCTGTTTTGACTTCACTCTTGAACGAGCTATCTTTCTCAGGCCAGCCCTAGAAGGTGCCGTTCAGTGCACTGTAAGTTAACTACACACACAAAAAGCAAGTCCGCCATTCTCGCCGCTGTCACAAGAAGCTCCTCCTATGCGGCAGGCAGGGCCCACCTGGAGCCGCTGAGCACCAGAGCTTCAGCACAAAAGTAGCCGAGGCCAGCGGCCCTGTGCACCTAGCTGCCTGCTGGCCACCACGTCTCCTTGCGCTGCTCTGCATCTCTGGGTCTGAGTTTCGCACGGAACCAGCCTAATCGCGCCACGTGCATTTCTACACGATTAATTTACAAAACGTAACGCGGAGTTAGTAGGTTTACCAGACCCAACTCTTCCTTCGGGGGTCTACTGGATACCTGAGCCCTCACACCGACGCACCCCGCAGCAAGGGGAGAAGAGCTATAGCCACCCGAACGGGGACAAGCACTGAGGAGACCGGCGGGGCCACAGCTGGATCAGCCCGGCTGAGCGGCCCCTGAACCCCGAGGGGCCGCAGCCGCGTCCGCTCCCACCTTCACGGCGCGCGGCCTCCGCCCCTCCCGGTACTTGGCGCGCGACTCGCAGACCCCTAGCTGCGCGTGGTGCTTGCAAGCATCCCCCAGCCCGCTGCCGCTACTGCTGTCGGCAGCCATCTTCCCATCGCCCACTGCGCCCCGCTCAGGCAGCTCTAGCTGCTCGCCGAGGAACCAGTCAACACACAGAACTCTCATTGGCTCCCGCTGAGGTGATCAGCCAGACAGAAAGAGCCGAAGCCCTCGATAGAGAAGCCAATCAGAGGCAAAGGATGGGTATATGCCGCGCCCGCATTGGCCAGCAGTGGGTTATACCACTGTCTTAGAGGTTGCAGGGGGAATTTTGGGAAGGCCTGGCTCGCCCGCCTCCCAGTAGGCAGCTCCCAGCTCGGGCGGAGAGGGCGCGCAGTGGCGCTGGGTTGTGGCGCCCGGCCAGCATGTGGGGCAGCGGCAACCCCGGCGGAGGGGGAGCTGGAGCCGCTGCGGTGACGGTCGTCTTGAGCAGGACCCGGGACTGCTTCCTGCACTTGCCTCCCGTGCTAGCCTCTCACCTCCGCCTGCAGCAGGTACCGAATCGGCTCCACTAGGGGAGGATTATGGGAGAGCACCGTCCCCCCCGTGTTCACCCCTGCACGGCATCCGGTTGCTATGGTAACACAAAGCGCCCCTCAGTCCTCCAAGCCACCAGCCGCGGCGTCGCAATGCTAACAGACCGCGCGAGCTTCCCCCTCCGGTTGGGGACCCCCCCGTCACGGAGACGCGCTGGTCATAGCAACGAGGAGCCCCTCTCCTGCCCCCCGCGGCGCCCTTGTGGTGGGGCCCGGCCACCCCCTCAGTGGCGGCATGTAACGCAGTCCACCCTCAGGAGCTGGACGGTGTTGTCAATTCTCCTTAATAAAATACGGAAAAGACTGGAATCAGGTCACAGCCCAGTCTGGCACTGTGTCTCGCCACTGTTGTATACGGGTTTTCGCAGTAACCAGCGTTAACTGAATTATGTGTTAACTAATCTTTCTGGTAAGAGGTGAGGTGATAAATCCGAGCAGAATCATTGCTCTTGATGTGTGTCGATCTTTCACTATATATACTGAATATATATATTCAATATATATATTTCCTGTACAGAAAGGGGTTCTTGTCGTGAGAAGTCCCATTAAGTGCATTGATCAGGTGCAGGAAGCACACCTTGGGTTTTAAATAACATTTCACACATGAAAACAAGAGCAAAGCCTGCATGCGCCTCATGTGCAGTGAGCAGAACTGCAGGGGCTACTGGCAGAACGGGCAGCATGGCAAGAGTGAGCAGCTGAAGAGGAGATGGGAGCAGAGGTTGGGGCTGGAAAGGGCAGCCGCAGTATTGGCAAAGCGTCACCCAACCTGTGTAACCTGCTGGTTTCCCAAGGCCAAAAAGGACTTTCCCCAAAAGCCAAATCAAAAGCGGCTTTTTTTGGGGGGGGGGGTGTCTGTGGTAGTGGTAGTACAAGGAGGTTAATGGAGCGGCAACGAATCCGGTATAAATGTTAGCTGTTGTTCTGCTGTAGTTTCTGGAAGTTTTACAGGTTTGCTGCCAAGGGAGAAAAAAAGGAGTGCAATTGCTTTGAAGTCATGTAGTGTCATTCTGTACATACTAGGTTATGGTGGGTTCTTGATTTTACTGAATGTGATCCACAAAAAGAAAAGTTACGATCTCCCAAATCCCAATAGAAATTGCATGTGAAATGAAATCTCTGGGATAAAAATGTTTTAAAGGGGATAAGTATGATGCCAATAGATTACACTGAGTAAATAATTTAAAAAAAATCAAGTCGAGTCAAAAGCTGTATCTGATTGCTGAAGGTATTAGACACCTGGGTGACAAAATTATTTACAAAACTCAACGGTGTATCAAGACTTGGGGAGAAGCTTTACCTGTGTGAATACAGGGAAGAGCTCTAAATTAAATAATTATGTTTTGAAAAAGATTTTTTTTTTGTGTAGATTTTCTCCAAAATTGTTTACAGAGTTAACTGAAAAGTCAAATAATATTTGCAATTATTAGGCTACTGTTGACAGCAGAACAGAAAACATCACTATGTTAACAAGTGCATCTGTGGTATAGACACAGTGTACATTATTGTGCTCACTTGATTTCCATAAAAATAGTAATTTTTGAAAAAAAAACACCAAAACATCAGTTGAGTGGTACAACGTAGGTTATAGTCTCTCTATGGAAGCTGACTGAGCATGTTAAGACTCTTCAGAATCAGAATGAGTGAGCAGTTCTGAAACAGATTGATAAAATCATTTTGGTTTAAGTTGATGTGATTTGTAACTCACTTTAAATGCTCTCCAGCTTGTGAAAACACTCTTGGAATCTGTGCAAATGTTACAATGCATGTGAAGTTTTAAGCATATGCTTGTTGGTCCTCATTTGGGAAATAGAAATGCATTGCTACACATTTCTGTAAAATATTCTATGATTTCTTTGATACCATTAATACAGAAGAAGGCAAGAGGAATTATTTTTCTTACTTAAAAATAGTCCATAAAAATTAACTGGTTAACAGCTGAAACCAACACACACTTCTGTGTTGAGAGTTGTGCAAATAGGTAATGTGGAGAAGAATTCTAAAGGTGTTTCTCAGTAATAAGTTGGCCAGTTTCTGAAGGTAAAAACCCAAATCTCATTGCTAATAGAAACACCCTTTAGTAAGCTGTTGTAAATGCTGCAAGTTATTGTTAGGGAATATTCATTAAAATAGGGCATGTAATAGCCAGAAAATGTTTTTAAATTCCTTTGATCTGTCTAATCAAATATAGTTTGATTAACTAATAGTCATTTAGCTTGTTTGACATTAGTTTTACTTCTTTGAAACTTCACAGGGCCAAGCTGTGAAAGTGTCCTATGGTCATCAGCCTGTATTTTTGAGCTGGATGGAAATCAGGCATCGAGGTCACCAGGGTCAAAATATTGCGGAGATTAACAGACTGTTAGCAGAGAAACTTGGCATTACAGATGGAGAACAGGTTTGAAGTACACTATTTGTTTCTTGTTTAAAGGGTATATTTTAAAGACACCTGAAAAGGTAATAATTAACAAACAGCTATGACTTGTTTCATGTATTTAGACAATTACTTCATTTATATCTGTTCATAAGAATAGTTAATCTTCATGAAATGTCACAAATACTAAAAGATTTTCTCATTGCATCATTAACAATAAAATATCATGCGGATAGGCTCATAGGTAGGGATTTGCAGGGCTGGCGCCACTATCTGTAGTGCCATTAATTTTAAGAATATACACTTTAAAGCAATTAAACAATTTTGAGATTATTTCATGAGAACATTTTGCCTCAAGTTCCTGTTATTTTAAACTAATTCTTCATATTTCTTCCTGTTTGACTTATTTGAGGTTTAAATTTTTCATCTCTTCTTCCCCCCCCTTCAGCACATGTCTCTGTGTGTTCTCTCTCTTTGAACACGTATTTAAATTGGCCTCTTCCTCTTGGACGCTGTTAAACTTTTTCTAAATGGTTCTTTCATTGGATTTAAGAGATGCCCAAGAGGCAGCAGAGCTTTCTGACATGGGACTATTAACATCACATTGTTTACTTTAATATATTAATAGGTAGATATTTAAGCAAACAAGAATAATAAAGTATTACTCTACACAATGTTATTGTGTAGTATATTCATATACTCCCATTCCTTCATGGGGAAAGTTTTATTCAGCATAATAGAAAACACTAAAAGAATGTGGCTCCAAAGCAGTGTGTTATCTTACCTTGTTTACTTTTTTAGCATGTTATCACTGGAAATGATATATCTTTTTGCAGAATTTTGCTAGTTCAGACTCAAGGCAACTACCCTTTATAGTTCTAGCAATTAATAATCTTCAACAGAAAAACAGTAGACAAAAGTAACCCAAGAAAACCTTACCCAGCTGCTGCCTGGAAATAATCATCTGTACAATCAAATGAATACATGAACAATTGAGTGTTTTGCCATTGTTTTGAATTCAGGAATTGTGTGCTTGCTGTGTTTCATAATAATGTGCTCTTCTATTCTCTCTAAATTGGAGGGACACCAATTTGGTGGACGGATGACTCGGTGAATAAAGAACTGGCTGGATGGCTGCATGCAGAGTTGTGATCAATGGCTCAATGTCCAGCTGGAGAACAGTAATGAGTGGTGTCCCTCAGGGATCAGTGTTGGGACCGGTCTTGTTCAACATCTTTGTTGGTGACATTGACAGTGGGATTGAGTGTGCCCTCAGCAAGTTTGCCGATGACACCAAGCTGTGTGGTTCGGTTGATACGCTGGAGGGAAGGAATGCCATCCAGAGGGACCTTGACATGCTTGTGAGGTGGGCTGATGGCAACCTCATGAAGTTTAACCATGCCAAGTGCAAGGTCCTACACCTGGGTCAGAGCAATCCCAGACACAGCTACAGCTTGAGCAGAGAAGAGATTCAGAGGAGCCCTGGGGAGAAGGACTTGGGGGTGTTGGTCGATGAGAAAATAAACATGAGCCAGCTTCAGTGTGTGCTCGCAGCCCAGAAAGCCAACTGTATCCTGGGCTGCATCAAAAGGAGCGTGACCAGCAGATCAAAGGAGGTGATCCTGCCTCTCTGCTCTCGTGAGACCTCACTTGGAGTATTTTGTGCAGTTCTGGTGTCCTCAACATAAGGAGGACATGTAACTGTTGGAACAAGTCCAGAGGAGGGCCACGAGGACGATCAGGGGGCTGGAGCACCTCTTGTGTGAAGATAGGCTGAGAAAGCTGGGGCTGTTCAGCCTGGAGAAGAGAAGGCTGCATGGAAACCTCATAGCAGCCTTCCAGTATCTGAAGGGGGCCTATAAGGATCCTAGGGAGGGACTCTTCATTAGGGACTGTAGTGATAGGACAAGGGGTAATGGGTTCAAACTTAAAGGGGGAAGTTTAGATTGGATATAAAATGAATTTCTTTACTGTAAGGGTGGTGAGGCACTGAAATGGGTTGCCCAGGGAAGTTGTGAATGCTCCATCCCTGGCGGTGTTCAAAGCCGGCTTGGACAGAGCCTTAGGTGGCCTGGTTTAGTGTGAGAATGCCCTGCCCATGGGAGGGGGGTTGCAACTTCATGATTTGCAAGTCCTTTCCAACCCTAACTATTCTATGATTCTTTTTACCATGTTGAGGGAAAGATATTCCTCTCAACTTTACTTCTGACAAGACCCAGAGGAGTTTAAAATTGATTCTTACTCTATAAAAGCTAACCTGAAGTAAATCTCTCTTATAGAACAGTTAACTAGTTTTATCTCAAGAAGAAAATAATTAAGTTTATTTTAAAATATGTGTCATGGTATTGTTTGAAAATCGTTACTTCCTGTAAAATAGAACCTTTGGTAAAAAGGTCAAAGAACCTTTGACATTCATGTTTAATGCTTTCTGAAAAGCTTTTATCATTCCTCCTGATACAAGACCTTCAAACTGTTCTGTGGAAGTAGGGCTGCTTCCTGTGAAGCCATTCATAAAGCAGCTGGGTTTGCTTTTGTATTGTACTTTTTCATCTTTTTTTCAGCTGTTTCTGCCTTACCAAAATTTGTGAACAACTCAGTGATTTTTTCAGCATTCTAAGGTCCAGAACATTTAAAATTTAAAAATACAAATATGATTGTGATCAATATGCATTAAAAATTGATGTTTTGTTATCAGCTGATAAAAATCTTGATGCTTTCCACATTCACTTCCATTCGAAGTTTGCTGAAGTTCCCAAGCATGCCCAATGTAGTTCATTTCCAATCCGTTGAACATCCATCTGCTTATGAATTACCTAGTGTAGTGAAATGTATAATGGAGCAGCTGTCAGTTTTTCTGGCTGAATTAAAAATGGAGTTTTTATGTGTTTAAAAAAAAGATGTTAAATGTTTTGAAATGGTGTTGCTTTTGCCAGGTATTTATTGAACCCTGTTCCCATGTCTCCTCCTGCCAGCAAGTAGAAGTGGAACCTCTCTCTGCAGATGATTGGGAAATTCTGGTAATAAAGCCCTGACCTCTGTTCATGTCTTTTTCTTACAGATGACAGATTCTGACAAAAGTAGGTGTTTGTTTTTGTTTTGTTTCTTTTTGCCAGTGCCCTATTCTTTTCCGTCCCTAAGGAAATACCAAATGTGGTGGGGTTTAATTGCATTTTATATTTCAAATGGTGTGTTAGAAAGAGATATGAAGTTTTTATCTTCAAACGAATGTTTGAAATGTACCCAGTATTTAATTTATAATGATATTGCACTTCTGCAGGAGCTGCACGCTTCCTCTCTTGAAAAACATTTTCTTGACCAGATTCGAATAGTATTTCCAAAAGCAGTCTTTCCTGTATGGGTTGAACAGCACACTCACGTTTACATTAAAATTGGTAAGCAGCAGTGAAGGCTCTTGTGGCCCCTTGAGTAAGCTGTTTTGCAAGAGTGGATGCATTCATTGACCTGATTTGTTCATGCTCAGGTACACTTATGCCAGCAGCCCCCTATGGGAGATTAGAACCGTGTACAGAGCTTCTGGTATGTCCCAAACCACATGAACCTGAGGAAAACATCACCAGCACGCCTTCCAAGGAAAGTGACCACTTGCTCAGAAGTTTTGTGAAAAATAACATGGAACAAGAAGAAGCACTAAAGGATCCTTTTGGCAAACAACCTTACTTAAAGCAAGGAGTCCTTGAACAGAGTAAGGATGATGCAGACACGACGGTTGTCTCAAATGTCCTCCCAAATATATGGAATTTCCTAGGGAGCATTTTCTCTCATACATCTGAGCAGAAACAAAAGACTTTGTGTGATAAAGATGAAACAAGCACTTTCAAAGACAAGCTGCTGAACAAAATTCACATGGATTCCATATTTAGAGTATGTCAGTCCCAACCACCAAGCGTACAGAATGCATCTGCCACTTATCCGTTTCTGAAATGCAATGCTATTCATATTTTTCCATGGAATTTAGAATTTATTGATTTGGATCCAAATCCTGTAGTATCTTACGGGAAAATTAATGAGCTGCTTTCCCCAAGACGGCGTCATCAAGAAGCAAAGCAAAATCTGCCATTCGAAAAGCAAAAGGATTTGACTAGTACGCAAGACAAAAGTCATTCTGATAGCAGTCAAGCATCCAGTGAGGGATCTGTTGTTCAAATCGTTTGGAATGGATTTGAAGACCTAAAGAGTGTCATAGAGTATGGCCACAGTGGGGAAGCCCTGCATGTTGGAAGAGTTTGGGTCAGTTTGAGCACACTATCTTTTGGGCTTTTTATTTGATATTTTCTATAGGATAATTTGTGGAGTATGGAATAATGTGGAACTGAGTAGTAACAATCAGTTTGGGGATATAGCCTTTGTGTTAAGCTCTCAAGAAGATTATACTAGAATCATTTAATATTTACTAGAGTTGTGCCTTGCTAAACTGTCTCATTCTGGACTACATCATGTACTGTCATCCTCCAGCATGCACAGTGTACTCTGGGTTTCTGCACCATTAGCATTTTTTTACCAAATGGGGAAAATTCCTCAGTGTTTCTGGAGGGAATGTATGCTTTCTTCAAAATCTGTGGGTAGCCATTGTATTCATGAAGATGTGAAAGTATCTACTTACATACCTTCAGTACTGCATAACGAGGTTCTTTTCATCAGTTAGCACTTTGTGGCTAGATGTGCTTTGGACTCTGGATGCCATCAAACTGTAATGGGATCATGTATCCTAGTCCTTGTGAGTCCATTTAGATATACTCTTTAAAATGCGTCTTTAAAAAAACAAATATATGTTCTATAATTTAAATTACTTTAGGGTATTTATAATACTTTGCAAGGTGGCACAAGTCCCAGTGTACAGACACTGCCGTTTCAGCTTGTTCTGGTAGAGCTACAGTCTGCTTGTGTTCTTCCCTTCCTGTAAGCACATGTGGGATTAACAAAAATAGACAAAATGCAATCTAAATCACAGTTTTGCTGTTTTGCTGTAATCTACTTCTCACCTTTCACTTATTTTTTTGTTGAGGATGACAGCAAAAGCCTGCAGTGGTCTTTACCATTAAATCTTTTGAGGGACGTAACAGTTTTCCAAACGATAGCAACCATGAAGTCTTCCAGAGTTAATACACACTGGCAAGATGTTTTCAATTTGGTTATATGTTAAAAATAACACAGACTATTTGAAAAGTAGTTTCCTTTTTAAAAGGGCAAATTGAGTAATACACTTCAGGGAGACTGGATTTTCTCTCACTGGGCTGCAGATATGCTTAATTCTGATCTGTATAATGACCTATATGTATTTACTTGCCCATGTAAAATTAATTCTAATCATAGAATGGTTAGGGTTGGAAGGGACCTTTAGAGATCAGCAAAGGAAAGTAGAGATGTTTTTTCTTCTATACTAAAAGCATTCTTGTAACATTCTAGGAATGCTTGCTAATTCTTTTTCAAACTGTTGGGTTTTATTTAAATAAGTTACTAGGTAGTCAACTGTAATGAGCACTTTTACAAATAAGATAAAAAGCAATTAGAAGCATGCATGAGAGAACAAGATTTGGACTCCATCCATCCATTCTATGGTTTCCTTCTTAATTCTTTTGCAGATTACAGCCAATAAACAGATCAATGATCAAATGTAAAGGTTCTGTTAGTGATAAAGAAACTGATATTGCATTACATATGAAACGTTAAAACTGTTTTATTTTCTAATATTTGCTTTTTTCTTTGCTTCTATTTTAAATATTTCAGATTCCAGATGGTCTGAGAAAAAAACTACGTATCGAAATACATTCAACAGTCCAAATTAAGTCGATTGAATCTATTCCTAAAATCCCTGTTTCTCTTACACTGCGGCCTAAAGAGAACTTGGTGAGTTGGTAGGGAAAAAAATGCATTTTCTGTTTAACTAGATCTTAATCATAAACAGTTGTTGTCAAACCAGCAGCAGTAATCAATAATTTTGCATCAGATCTTCATCTACAGTACATGAATACTGGTTCTAACCTAGCAAATTTTACACATTTAAGCCTATAAAGATAAATACAAAAAAGCAAAAGAAGTGGAGTTAAAGAGGAAATATTCACTTTAAGTCTCCTGGGAGAAAACATGCTTGTACTCTTCAAACATTACAGTGCCCAGTGCGTTTCCTCAGAAACACACTTGCAGTAGAGTAATAAATTTTATGTGCTGTTTGGTTTTTTACTTCTTTTTAGTGCTTCCTTTTAAAATTTTCTTCTCCCATGCTAAATATGTAATTTTCTCAAGTTATATTGTTGAATCCCTCTGTAAATGAGAGTTACCCATTCTTCTGAGCAAGCATTTGTGACAGTAAGAACATACTGAGTACTGGTTCTCCCAGTCTCAGCTGTAGCTCTGGAAGGACATATTTCTTCATAATGTACCTTATGCTTCTTTCTGTGACACTGGCCTGGTTTAGCTAAGCTGGCATGTTAGCTGCCCCTCAAAACTTTAAATACAGCACTTCCCATTATAGCAAAGCTTTTGCAGTTTCGTTCTTTATCCTCAATAACCTAATTTGGCTTCTTACCTACAGAGGAATGGTAAAACTGCCTTTTTTTTTTTTTGAGTTAAAATAACTATTCTGGCAGTAATATGCTAAAATTGTGAAATATAATTATGTGTGCTTTTGTATGTTTTATATGATTTCTCCCTTTCCTTTCTAATTCAGTTGAAGTTCTTTTATTTCTTAGAAAAAAGCAAGACAGATGCAGGCAGAAGATGACAGTAATTCTCATTTTCCTTTCTGAATACTGCTTCTATGGTCTTGGTTGATTCCCCTTTTTTAGACAGGAATTATGCTTCTCTGATTAGGATCTCAGACAAAAGATATACAACTTAGACTTGATTTCTTTTCCTGTTCCATATAGCTGGGACATCTGGGGTAAGTTGTTTGGTCTCTTTGCCTGTCTGTTGAAGTATTTGGTGGTGCCCCTGCCCTGGGTGAGCCAGTTCTTTATACAGGAAGCAGTTTATACAGAGAAGAGAAGGGTGTAGTAATCATCTGAAAGCAGTCATGAGTCAATATTGATGCATACCTTGGGTGATTTTTGAAACCCAGATTTTGAGTAGTACTCTTGGATCTGGCAATACAGATAAGTAAAACAAGAATAAAAGCTTTTGCTTGCCTTTACAGCAGTGTTCCAAAGATAAAATCATTAGTAGTGGTGGAAGGTTCAACTGTTGCTGTAGCAAGGGCTAGACAGGTGCTTTCCATAGAGCAGTTGATGAAAATGGTGTTTCTTGGCAAAATGCTGTTTTGTAAATAAATAACATTCTTGCATATTCTTCCATCTCTCTGTTCCATAAGAGAAACAAATGCCTCATGTATATGAAGCAGTTTTACTTACAAACACCTTGTTTGTTTTATTTCCCTTTTTCCTGTTTAGCATGCAGATATACATGAAGATGATATTAAATCTGCTTTCAGTTCTTGGCTGCAGGATTCCACTACTGATGATCACCCATGGATAATGACAAGTACAGACTGTATACATCTGCCTGTTAAAGAAGGTAAGGATAATACTGCCCTGTGCTGTAGCTGTCTTAACTGTCTAGTATGGAATTTACTCAGGAAATATGCCATTGAATCTCTGTATACACTGTTTAACATAAAGATATCTCTTCACACTGAAGCTGTAAAGCTGTAAGCATGAATTATGCTTTAATAATTATTAACCTTTATACGCTTTTATTTTGTATTATGTCAAAATGCGCTAATTATTTAATCTTGTGATGAATTTGTTTGGAATTTTAATAGTTGTGCCTTGGGTTTTTACAGGAATGGAGGAGTTTGTGCTTAGTGTAGTGCATCCTGTGCACATGGAAGAAAATAAATCTGAGAATATCTTTATACTGAGTCCCAGTTTGCTGCAAAAGACTAATATACAAGTAAATATCACATAGTATCAGGTATCAAGTAATTTAAATTGTTATATTTGGTTAAAAATATATTGCATTATATATATAATGTATTTGGGTTTCCCTTTTTAAATTAATAATGTCAGTCTGTTCATTAAGTGGTATCTTAATTCTTTATCTTGTTTTATAGCCTGAGGCATTGCTGAGATTCCAGATACACCACACTTAGCACTGAATTTTCATAGTGTACATCAAACTCAGAAAATCAATTAGAGCAGAGGAAAGTTAGTACTGTCCAAGTCTGCACATCCTATCCTTTTACTTGATTGTTCTTTCCTTTAATACCTAAACCACTGTAAATCGCTTCACAGTGTATCTGGCAGGAACAGTAGCTTGTTCTGACAAAGATGAGACATGTTCCCCATTCCAACCTACTAGGCTCAGACTACCTTCTCTTCTGTGCCTTCTGTTTCTTTAGTCTTTACTTTCTCAGGAGAATAAATATTTGTATTTAATAGTAAGATTACTGTTTCCATTAATAATTCTGGTTGAACCAGTGCCCATGAATGACTCCAGAGTTGTGGTTCTAAGAGTGGGATAACAGTTCTTCGTTTTTAAACTGACACAATTGTTTACTATGTTCTCTTTTGGCTGTTTAGAATGGAATTTTTCTCCAAAATTTAGGTTTCCTGTTAAGAAAAAGTAAACCAAACACAAACAAACCCCAAACAAACATATAAAAAACCCCACAGAAAAAGAAACAAGCAACAAATGAAAAAACAACACTAAAACAAGAGCTTTATTTCTACTGATATTAGATACGTACAAGAAGACAAGGGCAAAATGCATTTCTTAATAGCCATGTGAAACCCTACCAGCCTGTTCTTATCTGTGGACCTCTCTGCTGACCCAGTTTGCCTGCCCAGCTTTCCATACCAGCTTCCCAGTGAACTAGACTGAAAAATTTGTGCAGGTGAAAAAAGCCAGGTGTTTTGTCAGATCAGACTCCTGATTCCCTATCCTGCCTCACAAGTGCTCATTGCCAGCACAACAGGAGAGGGAGGGCACAAGAGAAGGAACAAGCAGCTACAGTAGGGAAAGTGATGGGGGGCTGCATAGTCTGGTATTGGCCTAACATCTAATCCGGGGTTGTAACATCACTGTAAACACTGGACTGTATTTTGGGAATAGTTGGATCTCTGCTATTTTACCAATGCATCTTTCTTTCAAGGACAATAAGCTTCAGCAAAGCATGCACGAGGCATTTGCCTTACACAGTTCCAAAAATGGCTAGTTCTGTATGCTACTTCTGTAGTTACATTTAACGTTAAGTACTAACATTTTCCTTTGTTGCAGATTCTTTTACATCCTGTGACAAGAAAAGATGATGGTGATAGCCAGCCACCTGTATGTGATACAGACAAGGACCTTCCCTACCACAAACTAAATGATTTAGGGTGAGACATTTTTGTAGTAGAAAACATGGGAGAGAATGGGAATGAAAATGCTCGTGGCAGGGGGTTTGGAACTAGATGATCTTAAGGTCCTTTCCAGCCCTAACTATTCTATGATTCTATGAGAAAAGGTGCTGTCTCTTCAGGTTGAATCATCTTTAGCTTTTTCTTGAAAATGTGAAGTGTACCAGAATGTGTCAGCACTGAAACTTCACCATAGAGCAGGCTGTTACTTATTTACATCATGTGTACTGGTGCTGCTCTAAGCCATTTAGTGTCTTACTTGCTCTGCAGAGGAGTGGACAAATTAGGAGCATCTTCATTTGAACACATAAGCCACAGTCTTCTGGGGCGTCCTTTATCTCAAAAGTTGGCTGCTATTGCTGTGGGACTGCGAAGTGGAGGGGTGCTTCTCACAGGAGGAAAGGTACACCCTTCACTACTCTCTACTTGCAAACCCTCCCAGATTATTTTCCATAGTTACAAAATGGGTTCCTTTAGTTTTCTTTGCTACCATGCGAATTCCAAAGAATGAAAGAACAAGCTGAAAAAGCAGTTAACAGAGTTAAATCAGTCAGATATTATGTATAGGCGCATACATTGTATATATACTTCATCAATATATATTCATATTTCATGTATGTGTATATACATTACATATATGTAATATACATTTTAAAGATTGCTACCAATGCAGTGTCAATTTGTTCCCTTAGGGGATTAATCTATTTTGGTTTATAGTATAATAAACACTTCATGTCTCTGAAATATTAGAATGAAAATAAGAATACAGTATTTTCTCTTGTGTTCTAACATAGAATGACAGTGGAGTTGATACTCTTATTTTGCTGTTGCCTCTTACAGTGATCTATATAATTCCATATTACACTGAACCTAACAGATGTCTTAACACTGAACTCAGTGGGATCAGAACACTATCTGTAGTGGATGTGTCCACTCTGAATTTGTTTATACTTTTTTCACTCTAGGGCTTTGATCTCTACCAAGTGATAAAAAGACAGAATATGTGTATATTTTTGGTGAGGAATGAAACCAGTGTGTGTACAGCATTTCCAGGTTGTTCTGGTGTGTACTATGACAAAAACTCCACAGAAACAGAAGAAACTAGTTCTGTCAATTTAAATTAGCTCACTTTGATTTTTTTTTTTTGTAGGGAAGTGGAAAGTCAACATTAGCAAAGGCCATCTGCAAAGAGGCATTCGATAGACTGGATGCTCATGTAGAAGTAATTGATTGTAAAGCTTTAAGAGGTATGATTTTTTTTTTTTTTTTTAGTCTCAAGTGTTTGATGTATGATGAAGAAGCACGTTTAAATAGTTATTCTAGTGTTCTTACTGCTTTTGCAAGGGTATGTGATGCTCCACAGTGAGCATCTTTAATAACAGTCTGAAAATACGCTGCTGTAAGCACACTTACATCAATTTCTGCTCCATGTAGCACCACCAATTTAGAGTGCTGCTCTAAAGTACTACTCAGTTTTTAACTGTCTGGAAGTCAGACCTACAGGCTTCTAGAATGGTTAGTGAAAGATGATTAACCTCATCTTCAGACAGGCATATCTTCCTAGTATTTTTTTTTGAGACGATGTGGACCCTTTACTGACTGATGACTCTAGTTTAAGCTTGCTACTTGGATTTATAGAAGTAAAATTAAGCTACACGATTCAAAACATGGCAATATTATGTAAGCAGTATGCAGTCAGTCTGATTTTTTTTCCTGACATGTTTTTTTACATAAAAATTGTCTTTTCTGTTTTAGGAAAAAGATTAGCAAACATAAGGAAAAATGTGGAAGAAGCTTTTTTAGAGGCAGCATGGAGACAACCATCCATTCTTTTGATGGATGATCTTGATCACATTGTTGGAGTACCTTCTACACCAGAACATGAGAACAGCCCTGAAACTGTTCAAAGCAATAGACTTGCTTATGGTAATACTCTGCTACCTGTGTCTGGATAAAAATATAATGCAACTTAGAATTTCTTACCCCTCAATTGTACTATATCAACTGGACAATTCTGTCTTGTATCATTACTGCCTCTGGACCGTGTGGTATTCTGTGGCAGGGATTCACAAATTATGGTATATAGACCATTTATGGACCACCAGCTGAACCAGAATAGTCCACTCTGGAGCTTGGAGTAGTTATTTCCAATGGAAATCTTCAATTTCTTAGCTCAGTTTGAAGGAGTTAGCATAGTTTTTTATTAAATTACTTTTGAAGTTCAGAAAATCTGAATATAACTTCTTTGTTAAAAATGTGCACTTAAGTTAATTGCAGAATTGTGTTTCTTAACTGCAGGTATAATGCATACAACAGAGGTTTAGAGTTTTAACTATTATGCCTTGAAGACCTACCTTGCATCCATAATTTCTTCAACTTTATTGTATTACTTTTTTCCTAGATTACTTATTTTATAGGCTTAACATCTATTTTTAGTCTTATAACTCTCCCTTTTTTGTTTGCATGGAGTGAATAATACTTCAAGAACAGTGATCATAGCGCATAAAATTCCACATTTAATATCCTGTGGTATACCTGATCAGTGATGCTACAAATGTAGCTTTAAAGAACATGCCTGATGGCATTTTATTAATGGAATGTACTGTCCTAGAGAAATAACAATACATCTCTTTTATTATTTATTTTCTGGAAAGCCTGTAAGCATGGAATTGTAACATCTTACTATATATTTGTTTTATTTTGTTTGCCCTGATGCTGCTTTCCAGTACATTAGAAACGTCAGTTATGAAATGCAGAATCTTATGTTATTTTGCAGTTAATGGAACAATCTCTTCTGTGTTTAGTTTTGAAAGATCTGATAAAGGAAGTTATTTCCATGGGGAGCTTGATTGCATTAATTGCCACGAGTCAGTCTGAACATTCCCTACATCCTTCCCTGGTTTCAGCTCAAGGAACTCATATATTTCAGTGCTTCGGATGTATCCAATCTCCAGATCAGGTAAGTTCAGATAAAATTAAGATGTTGTTTGCCTTCCCTGCAGCCTCAAATACATTACTGGAACAGTTGCAGAATAGTAGGTTACACCTGAATATGCAAAAAAAAATAAAAAAATAATCGAGATCTTACAAGTTCTGTCATGATGCTGAAATACCTCAGAATTTACATCTGTCAGTATAGAGTTTAAAAAAATAAAAGAAATCCAGTGAAAACTCCCAGTTGGCCCCACTGTTCTTAATCTGCAGTGACAAGAGAAGGGTGTACTCAGAGAACATCTCTGTTCAGTGTAAACCAAGTCAACTTATCTAACATAGGTGAGAGATGCATGTCTCCTTGTTACCTGTAAGGGATTCTAGAGGAGCAGCTTTGAAAAAAATATGTACGTCACCACAGTTAGATAAATGAGATTAAACTTAAGTTTTTTCACTGCTGAGAGAAGTAAGTATGCCCCTAGAAGGTGTATTTTAAAAGTGTTATTAAAACTAAATGACACTAAACTGGGAGGAGTGGCTGACACACCAGAAGGCTGTGCTGCCATTCAGCGAGACCTGGACAGGCTGGAGAGTTGGGCGGGGAGAAATTTGATGAAATTCAACAAGGGCAAGTGTAGAGTCTTGCATCTGGGGAAGAACAACCCCATGTACCAGTACAGGCTGGGGACTGACCTGCTGGAAAGTAGTGAAGGGGAAAGGGACCTGGGGGTCCTGGTGGATAGGAGGATGAACATGAGCCAGCAATGTGCCCTTGTGGCCAAGAGGGCAAATGGCATCCTGGGGTGCATTAGAAAGGGTGTGGTTAGTAGGTCAAGAGAGGTTCTCCTCCCCCTCTATTCTGCCTTGGTGAGGCCACATCTGGAATATTGCATCCAGTTCTGGGCCCCTCAGTTCAAGAAGGACAGGGAATTGCTTGAAAGAGTCCAGCGCAGAGCCACAAAGATGATTAAGGGAGTGGAACACCTCCCTTATGAGGAGAGGCTGAAGGAGCTGGGTCTCTTTAGCTTGGAGAAGAGGAGACTGAGGGGTGACCTCATCAGTGTTTACAAATATGTAACGGGTGGGAGTCAGGAGGGTGGAGCTAGGCTTTTTTCAGTGATATCCAGTGACAGGACAAGGGGCAATGGGTGTAAACTGGAGCATAGGAGGTTCCACGTTAACATCAGGAAGAACTTCTTTACTGTGAGAGTGACAGAGCACTGGAACAGGTTGCCCAGGGGGGTTGTGGAGTCTCCCACGTTGGAGATATTCAAGGCCCGCCTGGACAAGTTCCTGTGTGATGTACTCTAGGTTACCCTGCTCTTGCATGGGGGTTGGACCAGATGATCTCTTGAGGTCCCTTCCAACCCTTGGGATTCTGTAATTTTATTGGAAGGTTTTGTGTTGGTTTTCTATATTACTTATAGCCCTCTACTTTTGAATATCATACATTTTGCAAAGTAAAAAGAGGGAAGAATAAACAGTATGACTTCACTGCAGAAGAAAGCACTTCGTACCTGTGTATGCCTAATGTCATGACACAGACATGGCAACTCATTTGTATTTAACAGGAGTTTTTCCTGCCTGCTTGTCATCTGTCACACGCTACCAATTAAAAGTCACCGAGAAGGGGATTCTGCATTAGATACACTGTAGCTTTCAGCTGCTTCCTGCAAATCTGCTTTTATTTTTTTTAATACTAGTGCATGAATAAGGATGAGACATCACTGGAAAAAATCAAGATCTCAAAAAATAATAAATTATCAGATATATTCTTGTCTAATGCAATATATTTAATCTCAAATATATTCTGCTCATACCAGCAAAGAGAAAGATGTTCCTGTGAAATAGAAAAACTGGGTATAAAACAGTAGAATCTGGGGGACAGAGATTTGTTTTATTATTGTTGGACTTCAGATAGCTGTGACAAGGTGAACATTTAAAGTTAGAAAAATAGTGAATTTATTGAAATTCAGCTGAAGAACTAACTTTTGTTTATATTCATGCTCAGATTGTTATATTTACAGGTTTGGTGGCATGTAAGCATTTGAGGAAATTTTAGTTACTCTTTTGTATTTAGTTTTTGAATTTCTGAAATCCATATAAATAATAACCTCAGTATATACTTGCTGCACAATTCTGTTTTTCAGAAGCAAAGATGTGAAATGCTGTGTTCCATAATAAAAAGAAGACTGAATTATGATATAAGCAAGTTCTCTGATCTTGACCTCCAGTGTATTGCAAAGGAAACAAAAGGTTTTGTTGCTAGAGATTTTATAATGCTGGTTGATCGTGCCATTCATGCCTGTGTTTCCAGCCAGAATGCATTTCAAAATGATGGTATGTTGACAACAAAATCTCTTATGTCATAGTCTTACCTGTGATATCCAGAACATGTAGAGTAATAGAGAAATAAAAAGCTAGGTTTTATGTTTAAAATGTATTTAATTGTTATATATTGTGGGCAATTTGTTACTGGTGGCTGTGTGTGCTGTTCTTTTATTCAGGACTTTTTTTTCTCTTTTTAAGCAGAGCTGAATTTGTCAACTGTGGATTTCCAGAAAGCTCTAAAAGATTTTACTCCATTAGCTCTGAGAAATGTTAACCTTCATAAACCTAAAGACATAGGATGGGAGAGGATTGGTGGCTTAAAAGATGTGAAACAAATACTCAAGGATACCATCATGTTACCTGCAAAGGTACCAAGTTCTTTTAAATTAGGTACTTGAGTTTTGTACATAATGCTAGTAGGGGAAGAATGAGTTTTAAGGTGTGACACAGTATTTGACAGAAAGATGACAGGTATGATTTTAAGCTACTGTTGTAGCTAGCTTCCCAGTCTGTTCCTCTACTGGAAAACTCTTTCTCTTTCCTCTTCCCTCTTCCAAATACAAAAGTCAATAACTTTGCTTTTCTACAGATGAAATGTTCTAGAATATTGCAGTTTTGCTAACGTAATCTTTGCTACACTCTCTGTTGTAGGGTTTGTGATTAGGCTCTGTAAAGATAGCATTTCCAGCTGTCTTCTGCAGTGATTTTGCTAGAGGAGTATTCTCTTTTGGATGAGTACTAGTCCATCAATTCCCCTTTATTTTACTTTGGCCTTTCTGCCTTGCTTAAAACTTCTAGCATTGAGATGACCCATCCATTTCAGTCTTCAGAGAAATGACTGAACAGTATATTTGATCATATCAGTCAGTAATTAAAACAGGAGTTTAGAAGTATTGATATGGACGTCATAAGGCTGTAGTGCATCCCTGTTCTGCCCTGTTTCCTCTTGGTAGAAAGTGACATTTATTTGTATTTAAGTAGGTATGAGGTCTAACTCATTTCAGCCCCAAGTAAACTAGCAGTCTAGGTAAGATCATCTGATAATAACAGGGATACGTTCTGTTTAGACAGAAATCAGTGCAAGTCACTGCTGTTACGTTACACTGCAGAATAATTACATATTAGAATGTCTTGTTATACCTCTTGTTATAGAATATGGGGTTTTATATCTCTTTTCCAGTATCCCGAATTATTTGCAAACTTGCCCATACGACAGAGATCAGGAGTCTTGCTCTATGGAGCACCTGGAACAGGAAAAACACTGTTAGCAGGAGTAGTTGCTCGAGAGAGTGGCATGAATTTCATCAGCATCAAGGTAGCAATATTTTGACGATTAACTGATTCATTTTATTAGCTGAATGAAATAGCTTAACATGATACTTGTGAGTAGTATGTGCTTGTGAGGGCAAAATGCCAAAGAAAGAAACTCACATTAAAAATTTAGTATGTCTCTGGGTATCTCACCATCTGACTTCTGGAACTTCACAATCATATTACTGAGATTTGTTTTTGTGTAATTATTCATTATGCAGAATTATGAAATTTAATTAGATGTTCTTACTTTACTAAAAGATACTTGATTTCGGTTCCACTGGACAATGAAATTGAGCAATGCATTTTAAACATATTTTCAAAATGCAGTGTAAGCTGTTCCCATGTGATACTGTAACACATGTTCTATTATAGTAGAAAAATTGAAATTATTACATTGAAATAAGCTGGAATGCTTGGAAGATTCTTTCAGCTGATCTAGACCCTTTGACTCTTCTATTCAGAGATGGCACTCTTTTGGTTACAAGACAATTCACTCTGGTATATAAAAACTAAGAAGTTAAATTACACATTACACCTAAAAACCATATAATAAATGTTCTTTTCTTGTTTTTTTTTTTCTTTAGGGACCAGAGCTGCTCAGCAAATACATTGGAGCAAGCGAGCAAGCAGTTCGAGATATCTTTGACAGGTTGGCTTGTAAAAATTTGTGACGTTATCAATTAATTTTATTGCTTGAAGCTCCAAGAAATAATTTTGTTGGCCTAAGAGGCGTGGCATTGGATCACAAAAGCATCTGAAATAATGAGTTCTGCCAAACCAGATGTTCAGATCTTGGCAAGTTCAACTTGACTATCATTTAGGAACTGAACATTTTGGCTCAGCTGAGGAGAGTACTTTTGAAGCTGAACTCCCAGTTCTCTCCATTTACAGTGCATTGGTTCACATCACAAAACTATATTGAAAAGCACTTGCTGAATTCCTTTCAGATGATTCCGGGAGACAGTCAGGTGTGCCCAGCTAGTAATGAACACTCAGTACATAGGATCATGTGAGACTTGGTATTGAGGTCCTCAGTGCCAGTTGGTTTGTTTTTACAAATCTGCTTTTGCTGTTCCTCAGTGCCCGCTAATGTAAACAGCCTTTGCTTCTCATGTGGTTTACAGTGTAAGCAATCTTTGGGTTACATGCATACATAAGTGTCAAGACCTAATCTGCAGTGACTGGATTTTAGAGCTTTCATGTATATGAACATGACAGGAGAGTAATACAGAAATTCTAAAGCAAGTGCAAGATATGACATAAAAGTGAACAGTAGTTCCATTGCAGTCCAGTTCTTCAGAGCTTCATTTCCACAAAAAACAGATTTTTTATTCTTTCAATAAAGATAACTGTTCTCTAAAGTAAAAAGCAGTAACCTTTAATACTTCTAAGCGGTTTTATCTGTGACCCAACATTGAACAGAATTTAAGTATTTCCTTTTTCTTTTCCTGTTTTAGAGCTCAGGCAGCTAAGCCTTGTATTGTTTTCTTCGATGAGTTTGATTCTATAGCTCCTCGCCGAGGACATGACAACACAGGAGTCACTGACAGAGTGGTTAACCAACTGCTGACTCAGCTAGATGGCGTAGAAGGATTACAAGGTAATAATTCATCTGTGTGCTGCTTTTTATGCAAAAGTTTAGCAGATGTTAATCATATTTTTCTGTACTTTCCTAAGGGGTTTATGTGCTAGCTGCTACTAGTCGCCCAGATTTGATTGACCCTGCTTTGTTAAGGCCAGGTCGACTGGATAAGTGCCTGTACTGTCCACCTCCTGATCAGGTGAGGAAACAGAACACTTTACAGGGAGGCAAGTTAAACAACCAAACAAAAAAACCCACCACAAACTAATAGGCTTTATTCTCCTTTTCTTTATTTAGTGTCATTTCAAACCTGGACAAAGTGGACTTGATTGCCCAGCTCCAGTTATACATCAGTAGAGATTCACTGATTTTAGTGTCAGTGTGTTCACATAAAATGGGCAAAACAAGGCTGTTTACCACAGTCCTCAGAAAATAACTGGATGCAGGGTAGAGTTTGTCATGTTATGTGTCCTTCTCTGAATTATGAGTCCAGTGGATCTGCTGTTTGCTTGAAGTGATGAGCCATAGTCATTTCCAAACTCTTGAATTGTCTGAAGTTTTCAGAGCAGTTGTATTCCAAATTCAGTGGGTCCCACTCTTTACCCACATTTAGTTTGGAATATTGAAGCACTTTTTAAGTCACATGTGTCACTAGTTAGGAAACGTATCAAAATCTGTGCCTATATTTTAAAGATTGATTACTGTACAGTACATCCTATATGTACTATTACTGGGGTATTATCTTCTTTCTAAAAGATCTTTCTTCCCTCAGCTGGGAGGTTGCTTGTGACAGGGTCAAAGCACTATCTAGCACTATCAGGACAAGATAAATAACAGGTTGCTTTACTGACATTTTTTCTCATCCCTTTTTTACAGAATTCACGCTATGAAATCTTAAAAGCTCTCAGTCATTCCCTGTCCTTGGCAAATGATGTGGACTTTCAGGATTTGGCAGCAAAAACAGAATGGTTCACAGGGGCTGACCTAAAAGCTTTATTGTACAATGCCCAATTAGAGGCAATCCATACTAATTTAGGTTCAGGTTCAACACAGGTAAATAAAACTGATATAAAAGAAATCTCTTCTTGTTTTGATGTTGATATCTTTGAAAGGACTAATTTTATCCGTGGTGGGGTTTTTTTAGCAAAATTATGTTTAATATGATTTAATTTTCCTATATTTGTATACAGGGGATTAAAATATTAATATGTTTGCGGGAAAATGCAAGAATGATGTAACAGATTTGTTTAAATACCTCTTAAACACAAGTTGATTTTGTCTTTTTATGATGGATGCTTAATGTTAAATACATTTATGTTATGAGACATGACTGACAGATCAGCAGGAAGGATCCCTCACTCAGAGGTTCTTAGGAGTAGCTAGCAAATTCAGTTTTGAGGTGGCACATTTTGGAAGATGGGGGAACCAAGAAATTGAGGTTTGTGGAGCTGTTCCAACAGCCTGAGTTTGATCTGAGGTCAGGAGTTGTGAGAGGATGGTGATACCTGAAGTGAGTTGCTCTGGATCATCTTCCAGGCACCAGCTATTACTTGCACTTCCAAGGTGAAGGATCCCACCCCTGGTTTATACCCCTTATGTGACATCTTTTTGCCTCTATTCAGCCACCTCTCTTCTCGTCCTAGCTGGAAGGGGGCAAGCATGGCTTCCGCTACTTGGAGGTCAAAGGGAAGGATTGGGTCGGGGGTGCAAAAACGATGAGACCACTTGGTTTCTTTTTGCCCCACTTGTTACCAAGAATGGGAGTCTGAGGATGCAACTCTCAGTATTGAAAGGAATTTCCAGCAGCATATTTTTCCTAACATTTTCCTTCATTTGTAGAAACAGTAAGTGAGTAGTTGTAAGGATACCTGATGATTATCCATTATTTGAGGAGGCCGTTGTTTAAAGCAGTGGTCTTCAGAGTGGTGTACACCCACCCCAGGGGGTGCACAAGGCATCCATTGAAGTGCAGCAAGAAAATAATAGAACGTCAATAGTACATGTATATAAATTACAAATAAGTAAATTTGCATATATTTGGTGGAGTGTCCTCAGAATTTTTTTTACTGTTAGGGGTGTACAATCAAAAGGTTTGTAGATGCCATTCTAAAGCAACAATTGTGATTTCCACATCAGCACTTGGAATGTGTTAACTGTGACTGAAGATGAGTACAGCAGTCAGGCACAATAGAAGTAGACTCACCACAATCTCCTAGAGCACTTTACACAGGATACTAAATTGTCTGGAGGGAATGGTTGAGCCAGAAGTGATACAGTTCTACAGCAGAAAATATGCTTGAAATTTCCCAATACTTGCTGTTACTGAGTGAGACAGTTCAAAGCAAACAAATAAAACCTTAAAGTTATCTCCTCTAACTATTTTTCTATCGCAAAGTTCTGCTTAAATGCATTGGATTTTCTTAGCAAAATATTTGAAAATACACTCCTAGAGGCAGACAGATTACTAGAATCAGATGTAAATCAATACTTTCATTTGCACTGTATATGAATATTTTTAATGTATTTCAGGTTGCAATTCATTGAGTTAATGCTTCTAATATTCTGTTCTTTGTCACAGGATTTTGTTTCTAGTTCTGACAGTGACTTCAGTCTCTCTTCCATGGTTTTTCTAAACCACAGCTGTGGCTCAGATGATTCAGCAGTAGATGGAGAAGTAGGATTAGAGCATTCTCTTATTTCTTTAGACACGTCTGATTTGCTTCCTGAAGATCCAAGGTCCAACGTGTATCGTCTTTATTTTGGAAGCTCTTATGAATCAGAGCTGGGAAATGGAACTCCTTCAGAACTGGTAAATTACTCACTTAACATTTTGAATTTTCTAAATATTATCAGTTCTGAAGCAGAAAAACTGCACTAGGAAAATGGTATGGGTTTATAAATACAGTTATGTCTGCTTTGTTCTTCAAACTGTCTTCAGTTATGGTCCGTCATGGGGAGGAATATGGAAGGATGTGAACTGACAAAATACAATATGGACTTCCTACAACTTTGCAAGGCTTTAAAGTCAAAAAAACAAAATATTGATTAATATACTGCTGATAATCCAGCTAACTGTATTCATATGAGACCTCATTGTCTGGTCTATTGGCTTGTTGCCTCCCAAAGTTTAATACTAAAACAGCTTTTGCTGTGTTTGTTTTGGGGCTTGTTTGTTGTTTGTTTGGGTTTTTTTAACGTATTTTTATTACTGAGAAATGACCATCCAGCTTTCAAGAAGTAAGTCATAATATGGAGAATCAGCAAACATTTTTCAGTTTCCAGTAGAGTGTTCATTAATGGAATATGCAGATCATAGGATTGTGTTAACAACAGAAGTAAACCGTAGCTTCCATTGTTGCTCTTAAGAAGAATTCCTGTTCTAGTATCACACCGCACAGAAAGCAGTATGTTCCCTGGCTAGCTTGCAGATAGGATGTGCTGGTTGGCTGCCCAGCACCTGTGTGGTGATTGCCTGGCCAGCTTATCTCCCTTGACCACCAGGTAAACCAAGCAGAATATGCTGCCTCCAAGCTGTTTATGGTGAACAGATGATTTCAGAATTTGCATGTGATCCATGCGGCAGTCATTGTTGAGATCTGTTGTAGAACTGTTATTTCAGGTAGTTATTGAAGTTGTTAGACTCCTGTTTTCAAAACCGCCTTACATTGATTCTTAAACCCCAAAATAACTTACCTTGATACTGGAGAGCTAATTACTGACTGCTGGGGTGCTTTTGTATCTTTCATCTTGCATTATAGATGACTGTGTTCAATTAATGTGTCTTTAGAGACTTCAGTTTTCCTTTTAATTGTGAAAGTTCTTTAGCAAGGTGTCCTGGGTTCAGCTGTAGCAGTGATTTTTTCTCCTTAGTAGCTTGTGCTTTGATCTCTTAAAAATATTGAACTTGAAAGTTGCATATTTATCAAGTGCACAGAGAATTAGGAGGTGACGAATATTCAGATTATGAGCCATTCCAAAGATAACTACATAAACTTGCCCAGATTTAAGAACCACTGATTTTCATATGTAAATAAGACAATGGACTTGGTAGACTTTTTAGTCTATTGAAAAAATACTTAGTTTTTCCAAACATTAAATACTTCATTTTTTAATCTCTACTTTCCCCCAAACACCTAAATTATGTGTGTGATAAATCTTTAAGAGGAAGCACTTTTTTGCCAGTGGGGGCAAGATATAAATAAGAGTCTAAATCTTAATGGAGGAGTTACTCTTTTTGATCCATAGAGTTAATATATTTCTCCCTGTGGTAAATTTAGAGCTCTTTGTGTTTGTCTGGACCAAACTCCATAACTCATGATTTTACCAGCATGACTCATAGAGATGCAGCATCATCACAACCCTCAATGCTTAGAACAGCCTCTCAAGAAGACTCCTTGGAACATAACCAGGAGCAGCAAATAGAGCACCTGAGGACAGAAGTCAATGCTATCAAAGCCAACAACAGAAGCAAGAACGGAGTATGGCAGGTTTTTTCTATTACTTAGTCTGAACACTTTTCTACTGCTTGTCCATACTTCTTGGTATTTCAGTAATATCTGCAGTAGTAGTAAATATAATTTAACAAGAATAGCAAAGAAAAATGATGCCTAGTTTGGGAAAAATAAGCCAGATGTTAACATACATATCATTAAATAGTTATTTCTCTGTTATTAATACTGAGGGGGGAAGGTTGTGGCTGTATTTCTAATATATTTGTCTCTATATAAAATGAGGAGGCTTCAGAGTTACTGATATTCACAGCACTTGTTTCTGTGGTAATTTTTCATTGTGTGCTCCTGGCTCTGTTTTCAAGGAGGACAGCACCCTGAATCAGTCAGTGCTGGCCAAGAACACTTTAATTATTACCCAGTCCCATCTGATGACTGCACTTGAGGGTACAAGACCATCCATTAGCCAAGATGACTGGAAGAACTTTACTGAACTGTGAGTCTTACATTTTTTAGCAATTGTGAATCCAGTGGACATTTGCTCTTTCATGTTCCTTATTCATCAGAAGCACAATAGTTATTTAATGTGGGGAATGGCTATTTTTTTTTTTTAATATTAAATTACAGACTGGGAAAAGAAAATTATTTTAGCAGTGCATTGCCTTTTATTGTTTTTATTAATGTGGAACCTAGGATTTCTAATCACAGACCAGAATATTCTTGTATTATGTTGAGCTATACCTGTACAAAGGGGCACTGATTCTTGAAGAATTAGAGCTATGTCCTTCCTGCTACCACTGAGTAGTAGTTCAGGTTGCTGGGTTTTGACTCTTCATAGTTGTCTTTCTAGATGCTGAGTTTGGGGAAAAAGCAATAATATGGAGAAGGATAAACAAACTGAAAAGGAGAATGTGTCTTCTTAGACATGGAAATGAATGGAGCAAAAAAGCTGCAAACTGGCATTGGGTTGTTCTGTGACCTCATCAACAAGTTCTTCTGACATGAAGATTATTAAGGAGATGTTTTCCTCAGCTGATATGTAGATAAGCAGGTCTTAAAGCAGAGGAAAGAGAAGGAAGGAACAGGAAAAGAAGAAAATGAGAGGTGCTTCCCAGGAGCCAATACCACCCTGTCCACTTGTGTTCCTTGTCACAACTTCCTTGCCTTGTCCCCAAAATAAAACTAAATCATAAAAATAAAAGGGAAGCAGGCAGAGAGCCTTCTGAGTTAGGTTTGTGGGTGATAACTCCTCCAGGTCCCCAGCTCTCAGATGACATACGCTCTTTCATTTCCACATATACATAAAAATATACTTAAACGTCTGTAGTTCTGTGTTGCATTCATGTGCTGCCTCTGAAGAGGCATCTGCAAAAGGCATTTCATAAGGTTTTCTTAATACCTTTTTCTGTTTCCAGGTATGATAATTTTCAGAATCCCAAAAAGAGGAGAGGACAAGTTGGCTCAACTTTCCGACCAGGACAAAAGATGACTCTAGCATAGTAACTTGTATTTGCTGTAAATGCTAAACTGTAACTGGAAATGACAAATGTGAATTAAATCAGATTGTTTATATTCAAATGGATTTATTAATGCAGCACTTGAAGATAAGTTTCTTTTAAACTTACATGCTGTAGAATTACGTCACATTTTATTTTGATTGTCTTCAGATTGATATTAAATTTTTGAGAGAACACTGATTACATTCTGACCATTTGTTTATCACATAAAACTTAAAATTTGGGGGTTTGTCAATATGGTCACCAAAACCTAACAGTGATTTCCTATCCCTGCTTATTTCCTCACAACAAATAGATTCAGTTCAAATAAACTCTAATAGGTAATGGTGAAAATGGGTTTTAAAACTTCTATAAGGCCATACTCTAACAGCCTTTGGAGGGGTTTTAGAAGGGTAAGACATCATATGTTGATTGGTAGGCAGCTAGACTAATACTTCCAGAATAACCACAGCAAAAAAAACCCAACAAACCCAGATGAAAGAAGGTGATTGTATCTGGTTTTCTGCCAGAGTTTTTTAATGAAGGCAATGTCAAGTTGCGTTTCACAACTGTGTCTTCTTATCTCTATCTTTTCTTCTTGGGGACTGTTCAAAAACATCTCTGATGTTTGGAAGCTTTCTAATGTTACATCCTGAAATTATTCAAAACTACTGCCTTACAGGAAGATCGTTAAAAGTTGTCTTCCTCAGCTGATACATAGAGAAGGAGGTCTTAACAGAAGAGGAAAGAAGGAGCAGGCAGGAAAGGAAGATCGGCTGAGAAAGTTGGGGCTGTTCAGCCTGGAGAAGAGAAGGCTGCGTGGAGACCTCATAGCAGCCTTCCAGTATCTGAAGGGGGCCTATAGGGATGCTGAGGAGGGACTCTTCATTAGGGACTGTAGTGATAGGACAAGGGGTAATGGGTTCAAACTTAAACAGGGGAGGTTTAGATTAGATATAAGGAGGAAATTCTTTCCTGTTAGGGTGGTGAGGCACTGGAATGGGTTGCCCGGGGAGGTTGTAAATGCTCCATCCCTGGCAGTGTGCAAGGCCAGGTTGGACGAGGCCTTGGGTGATATGGTTTAGAGTGAGGTGTCCCTGCCCATGCAGGCATGTTGGAACTGGATGATCTTAAGGTCCTTTCCAACCCTAACTATTGTATGTTTCTAAAATTAGAGATGTTTCCTGTGAGTCTATAGCACCCTTTCACAACATGTTGCCCATAGTGGGTTTTTTGCTTGGTTGTTTTTTCACTAACCTTCCTTCCCTACTAGTTACCTCCCTGAGGTAATCGGAAAACACTGGGGCTTAGGGGGGGTTGGGTGGGGTTTTTTGGTGTTTTTTCATGGCCATTATGTCCCTTTTCACACCTGCATTCCTTTGGGCCATTTGGCATTGTGACCCTTTTCAATTAACAGATTGGATGTCCAGGCTTCCTCTGATCACTTTCCAGGTACATCAGTAGTAACATCCTTCCTCAAGCTGCTCCTCAATGTTTGATTGTATGGTTCCACTACATGTTCCAATTTGTTATTTTTGTCATTGAAATGTGTCATGCTATGTCAGTAATTAGGAAAACATACCATACTTGACCATGTGATTACATTGTTCACTGCTGCCTGCAGCCTAAACATTTCACTGCTGTGTGCCAACAGTGAGAGCCACTCTCTGAAACACAGCTGTGGGGAAACTGCACCTTTTTTAAAGGCAATAATTTCTCCAGCTGTTAGTTGACCTGCTCAGCACATGTTCTGCCTTGTGTGCTAGCAAAATGAAGACCCAGTTACCAGGCCAGATTCTGCAGCTTGCCAGTTACCTCTGCCTTCTCTTTCCTACTACCACCAGGTAATGAATTTGCACTAGTGCAACTGCTACTGCATTTGCAATGCTTGTGACAGAGGATCAGGCATAAACTGGATGTATGGATTGGTTGGCTGATGAGCTGTTAGTGCTGTCAGTTAGAATTATTTTTCATAGGAATAAACCAAAATTGATGCCACAATGAATATAGGACTGAGCCAGTTTTCTGGGGGTACGAGGGAGGGCACTGCTTTTGAGAAGAAAGCCACTTGCTGGTAATAGAACTTCCTTCTGTTTTCTTCTGTAACAGATAGAGCTGCTGTCACTTTTCTTCTGTTGGTTGAGAAGCTAATCAAAGTTGACATGAAGTAAAAGCCGATATCAGAAATATTGCAAGCATTTTAGCACTGATATATCTCAGAAGTGGCTGCATAATCTCTTAGGTACAGCTGGGATGCTTTTCTTCAATGTACTATTCTGGACTCTTTAATATATGACAGAATAATCCAATAAAAAAATCTATTCATTGTTTTCCTTCATTTTGATGATGTTTTAATGTTGTTTTCTAGTATCTTAAAACTAAAACATAGAAATGCAAAATACAAGTATAATTTTAACCCATTAATTTTCATATTCTCCATTTCCTTAATGTTGTGGGGTTTTTAAAATAACCAAGTTTAACTCTGCTACAGCAGCACAGAAACTCCCAAGAACACTGTGTTTCTACAGTACCCCTCTTTTATGTCACTGGCTCTTAAGACCTGACATGAGTTATCTGAAGCCTCATCTTTCCCAGTATTCTGACATGCAAGGCACTAGATGGCGAGATCTTCATTTCCTCACTTATGGCACCCCTTGTTGCCAGTGCCAGTCATGGTTATGTGAAGCTGGGTGCGGTTTCACTTTGCAAAGCCCAAAGGACAGGTCTGTCACTGTTACCTGCCTGTTTCCAAGCTCTTGGGTCCCTGTGTGGGAGTTACTTCCCTGGATTTTTGCTCTGGTTTTCTCTCCACCTCAAGGTGCCACAAAGACCTGGAATGCCAACTGTAAAAGATCCAGGGGTGCACATATTGGTGTGGTGAATCATGGATGTGGTGAACCCCTCCTGGCATGATTTCATTTTAGTCTTGGTGAGTAGTAAACTGAAACTCTGGGGGCTGTGAAGAGTAGAGATGAAATATTGGCTTCCTGAAGATCAACGGGAACTCCACCATTGCCTTCACTTGGGCTGAAAGCCTGTCTTGATATAAAATTGACCCAAATTCTTGTCCTTTCTCCAAAACCAAATCCCACTTGGGCTCAGCAGTGCTTTATTTTCTCATTTTTCTGGTATACAGCAATAATGGTTGAGTCATAGTCACTGTTACTCACGGTAACAGATGGCTTCTGTGTTCTTGTGTCTCGTAAGAATTAGCATAACTGGGCATCTGAGGAAATTGTTATTTAAACAAAACCTTCAAGGCTTTCATAACAGAACAAATCATGCATTTGTTCTTTTTTCATAAGCTTAATTCCTTCTTTTCCCCCCCTGAGAAACACATGCTGGCGTATTTGACTTTAATTCTGTGGTTTAGCTTCAGAGAAGAGGTAGATTGACAGATTTCTGACTATGCCAGAGCTGCAGAAGCACTGGATCCAGGACATGTAAGACAATTGCTTTATCTTTGCATCTTATTTTTCTTGAACTGATAAAGGTGAGTAAATGTGAACACAAGTATCAGCAAGATACTACAGGAGAGATATATACAAGATTGGCAGAAGTTTTACTAGTGTTAATTTTCCATTTGAAGAAGTGGGCAAGGTGTAACATCAAGGACTAGTGTTACAGGTGTAGTGATGTGGCTTTTTCACTCTGTTTTGGAACTTAAACTAGTACTGATGTTTATGAATTGAAGCAAGTGCTCATATTTCTGCTAAATATTTCACTGCTAAATATAAGTTTGCACTACCTCTTCCAGATGACTGTGCTGTTCTGGTTTTGCTACTGTCAACTGCATTTATGTGACCCTGGTGGTGAGTAAAAACTTGATTACTTTACTTAGAAACATTTGTTAGCAGTGAATATAATTGTATTGTGGCTTCTGACAACCTGATGCTACTTGAACTGCCTGAACGAAGCAAGGCATGGTATTTCTTTGTCACTGTCAGAGTGTCTTTGAAATCATGGCTCTATTTCTAGAATCGTGGCAAATGTTGGAGGTATCAACAGGCACACTCGCTTTCTGGAATGCAATCTGAAGGCTTTGTTAAAAGCATTCTAAGAAGAGGAGACAATTAAGTATATTTTGAAAGCTTAGGAGGAAAAGCAGTGGGAACCATCGTGGAAGCTGGAGGGAGGGAGATGCACTGGGTTGAAGCTGGGACCCAGAGAAAGCTTGGGTGGCCAGGTAAAGAAAACACGTGGAAGGAATTTGGGACACTGGAATGGAGCTGCAGCAAAAGAGGGTGGTGAAGTCACCTCTTCACCTGGTCAAACAAGGGTGTTGGTGAGAAGGAAGCAGAGGTGGAAATGCAAAGTAGAAGGACTGGAGTCCTGGGGAACAATCTGCTTACAGCAGGAGTAAGCAATAGGAGGGAAAAGAGCTCAGCAAGGGAAAACGGTTTCCTCTCTGCTTTGGAATGAGGAAAGCAGATTAAGCATGCAGTACAGCAGAGAATGGGGAAAGGCACGATGGCCTTCCAGGGAAGGAAGGAAGCAGGATGACTTAGGCGGCCTCCAGTGTAGGGGACTGCGCCATACACGCACCCCCCCAACCCCAGCACCCTGTTATTGGTACCTTTGTGGGGAGGGTAGAGGGATGTAGACTCACATGGTGCAAGTACTTAAGCGTATCAGTGGTATGAGTGCTGTGTAACCAATGAGCTTTGCTTAGGTTTAAATTATGATGTTTACTGAAGGCTATTTGTATCCATTTCTATTTTAATACGTTCAGATTTCCTTGTATTTGCACAGTTTTAATGGGAACTCTCCTGCTTGAATGCTGACAGTCTCCTTTTTATCCCTTTGTTAATGTAGAATGCCCACTCCATCCCCTTGAAAACCCTGGCACACAGGGGTTTTGCAACCTCTCCAGGAGAACACCAGCCTGGAGCTACTTTACAGCACAAAAATGAGGAGGGAAACAAGTTCCACAGTGCTGTAGGCACCCTGGCTGTGAGATAGCACCTTGGCAACCACACAGAAGTAGCTGAAATTTGCAGCAAATCCTGATGAAAGTTTGATAGTAAAAGCGCATTAGCCAAAATATTGAGAGCAAGATCAGTATTTGTCACTACTGTTTAAATGAAAAACCAAACAAAGGAGTTCATCAGGTCCATTCCCTTTTACTGAAAATATTTCTGACTATCGAATCTGCTGTTGCGGATGCTAAGGAAGAATCTTGGGTTGACTGACAT